GCTTCTTTTTCACTAGGCTTGAAGTGTGTTGTTCTTCCTTATTTCTACTTTCATTTTTTTCTCTTCCCCTTCTTTTTTTCCTTTTGCTATCAATGTCGTCTAACTCAACCTTTCATTCAACAACAAGAGTAGATTTATTCTTCTTGCTCTTCATTTTTTGGAGGATTTAGTGATTCTTTATTGCTCTACTGATGGGAGATCTATGACACTTTCTATCGTGTCAGGTGGTCAAATTTCTCTTGAAATTTTCTTGGGGCATTGTCTCTTCTCAGAACTCTTCACTTTTGTTGGGCTCTTGGATTTTTCTGGGCATTTCAATTTAGTTAAGTCATCTGGTGCGCCATAAGTCTTCTCCTGCAGCTCTTCTGCTACCATGTTTTCAAGATAAATTCCTCCTGCCAGCATACTTATCCCTAACATATTGGGGTCTAAATCCTTCAATAATTGTTGCATTTTGTATTGCTCTCAAGTGTAACTGTAAAAAGTTGAGACTAAGCCATTAGTTTACTTAACTCACAAAGTGAAAGTCACCACCACACTTTATTGTTCCAAAGGGAAATGGAAAAAGAGCAAATAAAACCCAAAAATTAAACAGAGATCAAGGTACGGGGACCAGTTATGCAAAGGGAAGGTATTAGCACCTTAAACATTTGTTATACTCAATGGGATCCACTATATTTGTTCTAATCAAAGGGCGTGTTATCTAAAACTTAAACTTGCTAAAGGGAATGCATGAATGAATTGTTAAAGAACACAAAAAGAAAAGTTTTTATTAATGCACTCACCTCGGTTTCGAAACCTCGTGCCTACGTATCCCTGTCGTGCAATAGGCATGCACAGACGTTGATAGTTAAAAAAGAGATTACAAACTGCACCCAAAAAATAAAGCGAGCACACCAACATGATCTACACGCAACGTAGATTCATAAAATGGTCAGATAAAGGTGAAAACTCGAAATATGTTGCCTGCTAATTTTTCACATAGTGTCAAAACACTTTTAACAGTCTGCCTGTAGAATCAAAATATCAATATTATTGACATATAAACAACTTGATGCAATGTATGAAGTGGTGCAAAGAGATAAAAATGCATTAAGTGAGATATCAGGTATTCTTATACTCTAAACGATGCAAATGTTGATTTAAATTGACTTTTGGTCAACCTAAATGCATGAATGACCGACTAATGATACAAATGTGATGAATGAATGATCCTGGAGAAAATTGGGGTATGACACTAAGGAAAACATTTTTATATTCTTTCGTTTCAGTAAATTTAGGATGGCAGCCTTATCAAATCCTGCTTAGGGTTTGAAATTTCATTTTTTGCTCTCTTAGATACCCCGTGTCTCTTACACAGGGCAATGGCGAGGAATAGAAATAGAGCATTTCATTCTTCTTCTTTTTTTTTTGCACGTGCATGGATTTCTTGAAAAATTGCTTTTGAAATATTGGTGGGGTGATAGTTAGTGAAACTGTGCAGCAAAATCAAGCGGTTTTTTACTTACATTCTCATTGTGAATAATAGGGGAAAGAGAATGCTTAAGAAATTGATACCACATTGTTGCCATGAGATTTAGAATCATTTTTAGCATTATTTTCTCTAGGGATTTTGGAGTCGCCAACCACTATGTTCCAAGGAGACATAGTGAATCCCTATTAGATTCTAGATCATATTCATCAACTTTTTCTAGCAAAACTTGAAAAGAATCTTCCACATTCTTCACTCCAAACAACATGTTAAGAGTTATTTTTTCTGAATGTTGGACTACTTTTCCTATTACAACAACTTCATGCTTCTTTTGGTTAGGGTTAACTAAGTTGGCATAAAATTTCTTCACCCATTTTGTGTTATGATTAATGGGGTATTTGTAGAATTTCTTCCGCTTCTGACTGGTTATGACACACCCGACTTCACCAGTAAGGACCAGATCTTCTTCTTTCAAATCAAAGATGAACCCTCTCTCAGAATGCACACTCTTTCTAGCAAACAACTATGTGTATCTCTTTTATGCATCATTATTCATAAAAAAATTCAAAGTCAGAGAGATCAGAATCAGGGTATACCACAAAGGGGTCGTGTTCTTTCTTGCGCACATTTGATTTATGTTGAAGAATGAGGTTGATGGACTTGAGGATCCCCAATAAGTAGTGTGAGTCAATTGGTGAGAGAAAGGTCTCCCTTAGCAAGCTTCGAGAGACCCTGACTGCCTAAACGATTGCTTTTTTACATGCTACTTGATCTCTTAACTAGGCTTGAAAAACTCTAAAAGATTTAAAAAATTGCTCTCGGTAAAGCCTAGGAAGCTCGAGATAATGAGAATAAGATCACCAAGGAGGTCTAAGAAGTCTTGAAGACGACAGGGACAAAGGGCGTTCCTGGGGAAGTAACTTACAATCGTTGTGGATGTCAACTTTGCTTGAATCCATAAATTATTTGAAAATGCTTAATTGCAAATTGAGCTTCTCCACTTGGAATTAAGATTTCCAAAGAAAAAATCAATTCTAAAAAAAATTTGTAGACGAGAAGATTGTTCACTACGAGAACAAGAGAATTTAACTTGTCACACCCCACTCCCCACACATCCCAATGATGGTGCTATTACTCTTATGCCTCTACAAAATTTCTAGAAAATACTCAATTTTTTTGAAATTTCCAAATTTTTTGAAATATCTGATAGTTTATTTTCAAAAAAGAATTTTTTTTTACATTACCGGAAATTTCAATATATTTCAAAAATTTTAATAGTATAAATTTTTTTTTATCAAAAAATTATACTGGAAATTTCTTTTTTTACCACCCCTAAATTTATTCATAGACATTTCATAAACTTGAATGGTGGCATGCAAAATGCTCGAGAACCAACTTGACATTTCATAAACTTGAATGGTGGCATGCAAAATGCTCGAGAACCAACTTGTAAGTTAGTAAATAGAGTGCTCTTAATAGATTGGACCGGACATAATGGACCTTTAACCAGTCCATAACAACACCAATGAGTTGAGCATTAGAGCAAATGAGCTATCAAAATTGCCTACAAACAACCTAAGAAAATCTTGGTTGTGTTGTGAATCGAATCCTAAATATTCAACCACAAGCATCCAGACCAAGAGATCCAATGGCAACTTAATCCAACGAAATATTGGAAATATATAACAAAAGTCATCATGTAAACTAGTCTTACTCTGATAAGTTGTGACACACCATTAAATTTGAGTCACCTCAGGAAAAAAAATGTGGAACACAATTAGAAGTGATTACAATTTATAATGAAAAATTGAGAAGGAAAACATGTTTTACAAAGATCAAAATTACTCATAATTGCAGGGATATTTTACATGATTAAATATTTTATCTAATTTGCATCATTCATGTTTACTAATTGTTTATCAAATAAAACTAATTTGCATCACTCATTTATGTAGCTCATGGAGCATTAAGCCCAAGCTCTTTTTCCTTGGGACAAGATCTGATGTCTTTATTGCATCTATCTTTGCAGCTACAATGAAATCATTCATACTGCAAAATTTTGAAACCCTTTCATATGTCATACTCTAAAAGTCAAGATGAGAACCTATTTTTAGGAACTAAACCCCGGATATGCCTATGAGTATGAGTAAGGCCCTGCCACTAGAGTCACGACGGTAACTGCATCTTGGCCACCAGGTCTAAATCAACGCCAAGATCGGTTAACCGTGTGAAATTTGAAAACTCGACAAATAAGAATGAACGGAGAAAGAGATAAGAAGGGTGTTGGTTTAAGGCTTACCAATGGATGTTGTCCATAGTTCTGCTGCTGACTAGATTTGGTTGTTCAATGTGGATATTTGGGAAATGGCCTGCAGTCTCTACAACATTAGAGATTCTGTTAATGAGCTCAACTCCGCATTTAAAATCTCTCAATTTCCATAAGCATCGAAGTTTAAGTTCTCCTTCCTCGTTCACAACTCTCAACCCAAAACCTGCATAAATGAAGAGAAAAATGTTTCATCTGAGGCACAAAATGGACACGTTTAACGTGAGTAAGTGGAGAAATAGTCTTTATATTATACTAGGAATATAGAGATTTGATACCATTTTTTTGAGGTCAGAATATAAAATAAACCAAAAGCTTTTCTCATCTTACCTTTCCGAATAAGCTGGTTAGCATCTTCTATGGAAAAGAGGAGACTGTAAAGGGGAAATGGGAAGACACTCCTGCTGAGAAAGAGAAAGAGCAGAGATATTGGGGGATTGAGGATTTTGTGTTCAGTGTTTAAAACTACCTAAAACTTTATCTCCGAATTTACTTTCCACTTCAGCTGGGAAAGGGTCTCTGGCTCCAAAATCCCCCAAGAAGTCGTTGGCCAAGGAGCGGAGTGGGGAGGAATCCATTAGGAGTATGACGGTGCTGGAAATTGAATGAAGGATTGGTTTTGGTGTTGGGGCGTGAGCAGTTGCTGTTGCAAGACAGGGAATGATAATAGAAGATTGGTTGTAGCCATTGATTTATGGAGAGTGCTAGTTTCTTCCTGTTTGGGGTGTGGGTGGATTGTGAAGTTGAATTGAATTGATTGTCTTGTTTTGTTTAGTGGTTATCAATAGCCTTTTGTGCTAGTGGTGGAGGAACTTCTACATTTTACTCTTCTTTTGTTTCTATGCTTCTATTTCTTGATTTTCTAATTAATTGTGGGTGGGGTTCAAGCTTCATTTTTCATATTTTTGAGATCTACTTTATGGATTTTTTTTTCTTTTTTTTAGTAATAATTAGGTTTTGAAAAAAAAATATTTTATAATTATATTTTTGAAGAAAATTATGTAAATAATCATGTTTTAGAAAAATATTATCATGCAGTAGTCATCTTAGATGACACATACATTGTTTTTTTAAGGAGAACGTCAAATGAGATGACGTCTAGATGCATGTGATTTGCTCTAAGCCATCTCAGATAGCGCCTAGGTGCAAAGTCTTTTTTTTTTTGTTAAAGAAATAAAAGGCAATGTCGTTGTAAACGTAAGTTGATTTTCAATATAATTAAACGATTACATAATGAGAATAAAAATTACATATTATTTAGTTGTCTCCAGAGACTCGATAACGACTTGTGGTTCTGCACTCGCGTCCTCGCCTAACTTGTGGTGCGTTTCGACGATTTTCCTGTTGTGGTTGGGTCGAGGGCCCTACGAAGTCAATGCGTTCAAGATCCATGAAATCTGTCAGATCAACATATTTAAAAGATTTGCTTTCAAACAGTCGGTTATCCATGGTCTTCAAAGTTTGATCGTATTGGTGCAGAGTGGGGTTCCATGGGTGGTCGATAGCACCAGTCGTTTAAATAAGGGGGTAAAATGGAAATGAATCTTGTGGAGTTTGGTACTGCGATTATTGGGTGCTATGGTGATGTGATGACTGATGGTAAGTTGGGTTGGTCGGGGAATATTCTTTAGGTAGGCTAAGGTGAGATGACGAGGGGTCCACATTGGGATGTCGGATGTGTGGTCTTTGTTCATAGTATTGGAATTGTGTGTGGGGCATGTGTGTGTATTGATATTGGTCTTGGGTTTGGGTTTGGGTGCTTGCGGATATGTATTGTCATTGTATTTGGTGGGAGGTTGATGTGTGTTGGGTTTGTTGTTGGGGTTGTTATTGGATGGTGTATGATTGTGCTCATTGTGTGCGTAGGTCAATCAAATACCTCGGGTGAGACACGTGCATTTCAGGGTTAGTAACCGATTTGTACCAATCAAAATACTGATATGCGTGTTGCATATTATTCTGGTTAAGGAAAATAGGGAATTGTAAGACATGTTGGTGACGCCTCTTCCACATCTTACATCATTCCGGAGCTAAATCTTCCCAATTATTAACACCCCATTGGGCGTCGACCCTTTTCAGATGCCAAGGTGACAAACAAGTTGGATCGCATGGTATTTCTTGATGCATTTTGAACTACATCTTGGCACATTCGCTTTGGTGCATCTTCACAATGTTGAATCGTATGATTGCAATTTTTGCAGTCTAAACTGATGCATTCTCGGGGTTGAGTTCATGGTCCAAACCCAAATATGGTCTCCAAATAAACTGTGGATAAAAATTATTCAGAATAATGATAACTTTAAAAATAAATAAGTTAAAGTAGAAAAAGTTTAGAGGTACTATGTACATCATCCAGGCCAAGGTGATCCAAAAGATTATGATATAAACAGAAAAGTTGATTTCTCGTATTTCAAAAAATGACTAAAGGTCAAACTTGAACGAGGTCCATTGTCACACATCTTCAACCAAAATCCAATTTTTTTTGTGAGAACCAAATTATACTTTATAAGGTAGAGGTTCAAGATGACGAGGACCTTCAAAATATGTTTTCTACTCATGAGTATTTTGGGTACGACTCAATTGAGTTGTACATTATGCTCCAGGAACCTCAGCTATCACAACCAACTTAATCACAAGTGATTGATCCTATCGAAGACGAACAAGTTGAAGTAGATGTCATTGACGAAGAAGAGGAAGATGAAGAGTTAGAGTTTGACAACATGGTCAACAATGATTTCAAAGACAGTGTGCTACCCAAAATACCTCCAAATGAAATCTACACACCACCTTCACACATGACAAACTTCAACATGGGCGGGGATGAACCATCATCAGATGCTTTCTTCAACCCGTATATGCAATCAGATGAAAATTTAAAAGAGAAAGACAAATTTCGTTCAAAAGAAGATTGTGTGCAAGCTATAAAAAAGTTTCACATGATAAACTCTGTTGATTTTAAGTTAGATAGAGTAAATCTAGATCGGTACAAAATCAAGTGTGCCCACCCAGATTATATGTTCAGGCTCACTGCATCTTACAGGATGAGAAGTGATTATTGGGTGATATGTTTTATATCCACCCACACCTACGTTAATTCTACTCAATCCCAAGATCATCGTAAACTAAATTATGATCTAATATGTCAAGAAGTCCTATCTCACGTCAGTAATGATCCTTCATTGAAGGTGAAAACCATAATCTCTCACATCACTACAATATACAATTATACTCTATTATACATAAATGCATGGTTAGCAAAGACCAAGGCGATTGAAAAAGTATATGGAAACTTGGAGGGGTCATACAAAGAACTACCGTGCTACCTGCATGAACTTCACACGTATGCTCTTAGAACTGTTTATATTATGGAAATATTATTGGCGTATGCCCTAGACGGTACTTGTGTCAACGGAAATGGAATATTCAGTCCACTGTTTTGGGCTTTTCAACCTTGCATCACAGGGTTTGCGTCCTGCAAACCTATTATTCAGATAGATGGAACATGGTTGTACGGGAAATATAAAGGCACACTACTGATGCCAGTTGCATAAGATGGCAACAATAACATTTTCCCAATTTCCTTTGCTTTAGTCGAGGGAGAGACTGGTGGTGCTTAGAGTTTCTTTCTCAAGAATCTCCGAACACGCGTGGCTCCACAACCTGGTCTCTGCTTGATCTCCGACAGACATGCTTCTATTGAGAGTGCATACAATAATCCGGAAAATGGTTGGAATAACCCCCCCCCCCCCTTCTACGCATGTCTATTGCATTAGACATATCGTACAAAATTTCATGAGGGAGATCAAAGACATGGATCTTCGGAAAATAGTTATGAATGTGGGGTATGCATTAACACAACCTTCATTCAAACACTATCGCAACGAGATCAAATTGTCAAATCTGGATGCAGGTATGTGGGTTGATAATCTTCTAGTAGAGAAATGGACGAGGTCATATGACAATGGACAACGGTGGGGCCACATGACAACAAATCTTATTGAATCAATGAACGGTGTCTTCAAAGGCATGTGAAACCTCCCAGTAACCGCTTTGGTGAAATAAACATATTTTAGGATGGCTTTGTTGTTTGCAAAAAGAGGTGATATATGGAATGCGATGTTATAATCAGGACAACTATGGAGTGAAAGATGCATGAAGTTTACTAAGGCGGAAAGTGCCAAAGCCAACACCTATCTTGTTACAAGGTTCGACCGACATAGCCACAACTTCATTGTCAAAGAGACACTCGACCATAATGAGGGGCTGCCAAGACAAGAGTATAGGGTTATACTACCATCTCGTTGGTGCAATTGTGAAAAGTTTCAAGCCTTTTGAATGTCTTTCTCTCATGTCATTGTGGCATGTATGTATGCTCGTCAAGATGCATTACTACTTCTATCTCCCATTTACAAGGCCGATACCTTGCTCAGCATATACAACAATGGCTTTCCAGTGGTAGCAAAACTGGATTATTGGCCTGCGTACAAAGGGGAAATAGTTTGGCACAATGATCAAATGCGAAGGAATAAAAAAGGTCGTCCCAAAAGCAAGCATATTACAACTGAAATGGACTCCCTTGACAAGCTATAAAGAAAGTGTGGTTTATGATGTCAGGTCGGACACAATCAAAAAAATTATCCCACTCGTGCTACTAGCTCGCCAACATAAATATTATATGCAAACTATCTACACTTTTTTAAGATCTAAACATAACTTTTTTTCATTAAGAGCATTTGTTACAACAAACCATGTGCAAAAAACAAATAAAAACACATCACGACTAACACAACAACAAATACAACACGTAAATATAACATCAATAAAACGATAAAATATCTAAATAATTACAACTGTCAAAACAATTTCATCTGATCCATGCATAATGACCATTACATTTGTGTCTGTTTTGATTTCCTTCAACCAATATTAAGGTCTTCAAGTTACAAGTGAGGTGGTTGTCTGTTCTCTGGATCCTTCTAATTTGTTCCCCAGCTTTAGTGTCTCTCTCTAACCATCATATCAACTCTCTCTTCAGATGTTTCATGGCATGAATGTGCCAAAATCTCATTTTCATCGGAGGTTTGGAAGCCGAGAAAATAACATACCCATCTCTGGTGAAAATCTTGGGAGATGTCATGATGCAAAAACATAGAGAAATGAGAAGAGAATGTGAGAAAGTATGAAGAATGATGGAGAAATGGGTGTTTTATTTATAGAAAACAAACTTGTATATAGGAGTCATCTCAGATGGAGCCTCCTCCCCAAATAATAGAGTATGCACCATCTCACATGGCATAAAGAAAGTGTATACGCCAAGTGAGATGGAGCCTAAGGCTAAAGTTCTAGTGTATGCGTCATCTAATATGGCTACTGCATGGTAACATTTTCTAAAATATGGTTATTTGCGTAATTTTCACTAGAATATGATTATTTTTGTATTTTTTTTCAAAACCTAGTTATTGCTAAGAATAATTATACTTTATGTGTAATCCAAATAAATAAGGTAAAATTATCCCTTTAATTAGAAAACTACAAAAAAATTATTTTTTAATTTGTTTATAAGTCTTTTTATAAAAACTATACGTTTTCAATCGAATTCAATTTCAGTTTTCTTTAACAAAATCAAATAGAAATTAATCGTTATTCAGTGTCACTGTGAATTCTTTTACACACTCAGTAAATTACAAA